TTCTGACCATTCCCGTGTTAGCACTCTGTATGATTCTGGAACCGATCAATGATAATCTGAACGGAAAATCTTGTCAAACCTGTTCCGCGATTCAAGTGTTCATTAATTTTGTCACATTGACCGCTGCATTCTTCTAAAAGTTTCGGAACGAAAAAAGCGACCTTACTCTTCATCTCGCGACATTGCAGTAGAACCACCCCATCTTGGACAAAAGGCAGATAACAGATGGTGCAATTTGAGTATTCTGTTTACGGTTTGTTCAGCGTGTCTTTCGATCCTCTCAGAACGCTTTTGAAGAAAAGCTTGCCAACATAGATCTTACTGTATTTTTTACACAAACGTCTTTGCCTAAAACAAGATTATGTGAATCATATGTATCGTGACAACGAATGAGGGAGAACAAGGTGACAGCCACCAAAATTAGACGCTCAAAGGCGGCAGGTCGCCAGGTTCCTGGATAAAAACGTGGTCCAACCTATTGAAGGGCAAAGTTAGGACATGTCATTTTGAGTACTTAACTTTTTCTATCTAAGTTAACGTAACACAATGTGAAAGTGATAAGCATAATTTTGTGATGGAATTTCATAAAAATTGTTTATTCAGATCAATATCCGTAAAGCAACAAATAACATCAGATACTGTATCATGCTGAGATTTAGTACGGCACTGCTCTGCTTTGGAGTACTTCCGCTTCCGGTAACTGTTGTGGTGGATTGAGAAGCGATGGGCGTGGTTTTCGTGGTGGGAATAGGTGTGGTTGTTGGTTGGGTGATGTTAAATGGGGCACTGTAGTCGGCTCTATTGATCCAGTTGTAGATCATTTGAAGAGCTTGCATTGGTCGATCCAGTGGTACAAAATGTCCCGAACCCTAAATATTTCACCGTGTTAGATTTCCTGTATGCTGGTTTAGTGCCAAATTTCTGCGTCTCCAAAAGCTGCATACTATCAGGTAACGTAAAGCCTACCTTTACGGTCAGTACATCAATATTTTTCGTGTATCTTCTAGCAAAACCACCCAATGTTGGGTAATTAGCTGGATCGGTTTGGTACAACCAGTCCTCTCGTGCTGGTAGCTGCAAACAGCTACATTAGCAAACTTTACCAAAAAGTTACCTCGAACTTACCGGTAAACCAATGCTGCCCGTAAAATACTCGGTGGTGAACCATTCTGCACCCATCCAGTTGCACATAGTGTCAACATCTCCACTATAGAGCAATATCGTAAAATTGTTGGCGTTATAATAGGAGCTAAATAATTTTTTTCGTAAATTTTGATAAATATCAAGAGTGAGGCAAAAACCTATTGATAATGTAGTTGAAGGAAGGCGCAGCAGATGGATTGGTCTGATTGTAGACGGCAATGATATTGCTGAAATCGATTATTGATTGATGCTTAAGTTGAAGACTAACCTTCCTACCCACCGCTTCCGCCCTCCCCTACTTGTCCCAAATAGGTAGTAAGATTCTAAAAAGTTTCCTACAAGGGTCACCAATGATGCATCACCGTTTCAAATGTGAGTAGGTATTAATAATGAATTTGAACTCAATTTGTTTTCTGACGTGAGATGTCGGATATTGATTCTCGTATAAACAAAAAGGTCTGTTGAACTCTTTGTTTGACCAAGAAGTATGACTTGAAGTCTAATTTTGTCAAAATCGACATACCAAAATGACAGAATGTCTGGAAGGATGACTGGTAAAGAAAGAAGGGATAAAAAAGACAAGAATAAGAGGATGAAGTTTTGAAGAAAAAATGCTAGAACAACTGATAAAGGACTTACATGTATAAAGGAGTTATTGCATAAGAGAATGTAAAAGGCAGGATGAGAAAATGTCATTAAAAAATGATTGGATGAAATTATAAATGTTTATAGGCGCTCCAAACCATTTTTAATTCTGATAAAAAAAGAAAAAAGGTAGATGTATAAAAAAATGGGATTAATGATGCAACAACTACCAAAGATTTTGGGATCCATCCTACAGGCCTCTCATTATTTATTTATTTTTTTCGTTATAACTGATGATATTCACGCTTTTT